ATGCCTAAGCAGTTAATTCATTTTTCCCTTGAAATTTGCACAAATATTTTACATTTAAGTATAAAATAATCACATTTTTTGATGTAGTTCCCTCTTTTCCTAAATATGAAACCAGGGAAATAAAGACCTAAAGTTTTGAAAAGTTAAGTATTTATCTTAAACTTAGACACCTGGTTTCTTATATCAAATACTTACTAGGCACATTTACATTTAAATGAGAATAGGTTTTCACTATAAAAAGCCATTATAATACCCTGCAAACATCAGATAAGGTTCAAAATCTGAAACACATAAAAATTTTATACTATATATATATTTAAAATCACATTGAAGTAAAGTTCAAACATTTTATGATATATGCGATCATGCTACATATAGTTATGCATGGAATGATTTTTAAACCAAATATACTGGGATCAAATATTTTATAATTATCTTTATAGATATATTCTACTAATACAACACATATAGTGGGTAGAACTATGAAACAATAAAAAGTTATGGCCAAGAATTGTCCAATGGCAAAAGCACCTGCCTTTCCACACTGAGGCCAATAAGGTCAGAAATTTAGTGCTCAGTTCCACACGCTCACATATGCTCTTAGATTTCTGGCATTCCACGGTTTGGCATCTCTGAGATATATAAGAAAGTAGTGATCTCTGGTTCATCAAAATCAAATGTACGAGAGCAACACCCCAACTAAAGTGTATGAGTGCTACAACATGATGCGAATTAAGTTATCTGAGAACAAGAAGAAGAGACATAAATAGTTGAAAAAATCAAATTCAGTTGCTAGATTAGAATATTTCTTAAATCTATTTCCCCTTGATTCACTGAGAGTTACAGGACTTCTATTTGTCAGAATTAGAACTTCTAAATGGGCGTCTTTAAAGACACAGGACAGAAGGACCCAGTACTAGAAACTTATCTGATCACTGAAGAATTCCTAAAAGGAAGGTTGAAATCAGTATATTTTTGGATAGGGGTGGATGTGTGGATGTTAGTTGTCAGTGAGGCTGGTTTGCTCTGCTCAGGTAAGTGAGTTAGGGGGAAAAAATGAGACTTTACATAGAATATAAATAAACTTCTTAGAGGGATATCAAATATCCAAAGGCAATAGATCCAAAGAGCAAAACTGTTCCTTCAGCTGAAGCTTGCCATTGGGTTGGTGATATAGGGTGTGGCAGCTAAGTTAGGGAAGGGAACACTAGGACAACCCTGGGGGTGAGGGGAGTGGGGCTGGCAGAATATTCTACCAAAGAGGCAGGCTCTGAAGTAGAAGGTAGGGGATAATGGATACTGGTGAAGGAACCGGTGTTGGAACACTGTACGCCTGAAACTCAACCACAAATATCTTTGTAACTTTATAACTCATGGTGATTCAATAAAAAAAAAACTTAAATATGAGACTTTCCCAGCCCAGTCAAAGTAAAGTGTTCCTAATATGTTACTGTGCATGCGAATATAACACATAGTTTTATTCAGTGGATCGAGAAAAGAGCCCCGGGTGCTGGTGGCTGTAACTATAACGAGTTTATGTATCACACTTTGATTTTTTTACTTTTGAGATGGAAGACAGTGATGCAGTTTACCTTAGCTCTTAAAAGAGTTCATAAAGAATCACATAGAGTTTAGAATCTTTTTAGGGAAACAACTTGGTTATGTTGATACTCCTAGGAGTTATCTTCCCCGCCTCCCTCCCTCTCTCTCTCTCTCTCTCTCTCTCTCTCTCTCTCTCTCTCTCTCTCTTTCTCTTCTCTCCCTGTCTCTCTCTTCTCTCTTTCGCTATGTAGTTTTGCCACCTCCCTAGCATAATCTTAGTTTTTCCCAAAGAGAGAGTCACTCTTAATCAAGATCTCAAAACTAATGTGCATTTGCCTACCAATATGGATGTTTGCATAAAAATGATTATTATACTACAGTTATGATCAGTCTCCCAAAGAGACACTTGTTTCATGGAACTAAGATTACAAAGGTAAACGCTTTGAGAAGTCAGTCAAGCTCTTGGTACTGGACCACCAAAGTTACAAACCTCCCTTGTCTCCTGCAGTCATTTCAGATTATTCAGGGCTGTCACAGACTCACTGAGAGAGGATTTTTTTTTTTTTTACCCTTGCCATTTCACTTACTCGGTGCCAAACATCTACTGTGGCTTCCAATGAATCAAGTTCTCCTTCCTCTCCTCCCCTGGAAGCACATGCTCCCAGTGAAATGTCACCAGTCTTTCCCAGGCTGGACTTGTAAAGCGAAAGCAAGGGTACCATTCTTCACTAGGAAACTGACCCACAAAGCGTACTGGATTCAGTTAAAGAGATTGAGAAGAAGGTCGGCTAAGAACACAAAGGGAACTCTTTCCACAGTTACTTCTGATAGAGCTCTACCAATCCAGAAATAAAGCCTGTCCAAGGCAAAGAAAATAGACAGAGGGCACATTAGGTGAGATCCAGGAGAGAACTGGACTCTCACAGGTGACTTCTTTGCACGCTCTGTTTGGCTATCTTCCCTTTCCCAGGGTATAACTGTTTCTATATTTATACCCTTTCTCGGTGCCCTCATTTCCACACTGCAATGTCTACTAAAGCTAATTCATCTCTTTTGAGCCGCAGACACATGGAAACATTGTTACATATGGAGGTTTACATAGTCAGGCTGCCACTCAGACACAAAAACATCCATACACTACATGGGAATGTAAGATGATTTTCTTCCCAATAAACATTCACGTGCCTCTCTAAATCTTTGAAACTCACAGCCTAGGAAACAATGATGACTTGAAGCTTACAAAGTTCCTGGACAATTAAAATAAAAAGCATGCATCCAAAGCATCCGTGTTCTCCATATTATTTTCCAATATTGTTTTAAGCTAAAATACATTGAATCGCATAAATTATACAGACCACTTCACACTAAAGGGTTAATTCTGCTAGAGAGTAGGAATGTTCACAGTTGAGATGCCATGCTTAGGTGTTTGCAAAAACATTTTCTGCGTAGTGTCCAAATCCCTTTGCAAACAGATAAATTACTCTATGAATCTTATTACTCCATGTGTGTGAAAATCACACAGAGGTTTACAAGGCCAAAGAGCTGGAAGGGAAAATCTGCTTTGGATGGTAGGATCCTTGGGATTCATAATCAGCCAATGCTCAGGAAATGAAGAGAGGAACACTTACACATTCACATTTGCACTGTTTTGATAATGCATAGCAATACACATATAATACAACACACACACACACACACACACACACACACACACACACACACACACACTGCTCGCTCTTTAACAAGGCTGGAGGTCCCAAAGCAGGACAGTGTGACAGCCAACCGAATTTATTTCTAAGAAAAGGAAAGAAAACTTTGCTGCTGTAGGCAGCTCTGCTTTAGAACAGCTCCCTGATGCCCCAGGGTTTATGCACTATCAGCTCCTTGCACACAGATTAGAGGGTTATTTTCTATCATATAGTGTTTTTTATTGCCACAACAAGCAATATTAGCTAGATAGACTGACACTGGACTATTTTATTTGGGTAAAATGAGATTTTAAAGGATCTCGAAGGAGAACATTTTCTTCCATTCTTTGTTTTTTTCTTTTCTTCTCTTCACGTTTAATATAAATTCAAGGAAACCTAGGTAACAAGGACAGGGGTATTTACAGAGGCTACAGAGAGAAGCAGAGGAAAACAGGTGTGGACTTTTTATAAATAGGATTAAGGTTGGGTTACCTCTGAGTTTCTGTAGCTCACACTCCCTTACAGGGGTCAAACTCCCAAGGACTTGGGGCTCTTCATTTCCAAATTTCAATCCCAAATTATATTTCAGAGTTTGGCAAAGCTGCTTAGAGATAAGGCTCTGAGGTCAATAATCAATTTGAAATATGCATTTTATGCCAGGTTAATTCTTTCCTAACCTCTGTGCTTCTTAGTCCTATTCTTAAGTATCAGCAATTTCCACATTTTTTTTCTTCTTCTCTTCATTCTTATGTTGACTTCCAGCCACAATCCAGAAAAGGCTCAGTCATCAACCAAAGTTGTAGGATTGATTTATTGCCCTGAATATCAATGAGAAGATCCTTACCAAGTGCCCTATCTGAAAGAAGGAACTATTGCTGGGGCAGAGCAAAGAGCCCTGATGTGTGTGTTGTGTGTGTTTCTCTCTCTCTCTCTCTCTCTCTCTCTCTCTCTCTCTCTCTCTCTCTCTTCTCCTCTCCTCTCCACTCTCTCTGCTCTCTCTCCTCTCTCCTCTCTCTCTCTGCTCTCTCTCTTCCCCTCTCTCTCTTTCTCTACACACACACACACACACACACACACACACACACACACACTTGAGATTGCGGTACCTTGTACCACTCTCTGAGAGCCACAATTCAACAACTCTTCTTTCCTCACCAAGAAGCACCTCCCCCCTCCAAAACTCTGAATTACGAGCCGGCAATTACAAAAGCAAGATTACAACCCAAATGTCATCAACACCGTGGGGGAAGTTCGACTTCCTTGGGAAGACAAGCAAGGTCCTAAGAACCAACATTTAACCAACGCTGCTGCTGGACCCTTGACAAGAACCAGAAAATTCCCTTGAAATGTGTTGGCAGAAACCTCTGCCCAGCCAGTAAAAGGCATGCGCGCGCACACACTCCACACACACACACACACACACACACACACACACACACATCAGACACACACACTCAACACACACACACGCAAGCAAGCAAGCAAGCAACACACAGCACAAGGCTGCAGGATGGGAAACTGGAGTTCGAGAAGAGCACACACACACACACACACACATCAGACACATACACTCAACACACACACGCAAGCAAGCCAGCAAGCAAGCAAACGCGCGCCAGGCGCACAGGAGAACACACAGCACACGGCTGCAGGATGGGAAACTGGAGTTGGAGACGAGCACACACACACACACACACACACACACACACACACACACACACGTGCACAAAAAAAAAAAAAAGCAAAAAAAGTTGCCCGCCAGGGCCCTACCTGAGGATGGCCGTGTCCCCCTGCCTCACGGTGATGTTGTCGGTGCCGCGGTTAAAATCCACGCTGCGAACGGGCAGTCCTGTGGGGAGAAGGCAGAGCAGTCTCAGTAGGAGCAGCGGCAACTGTTTCCGATCCGGCCGAACTCTGGCCACCATCGTGTCCAGGCCGAGTGCGGGGCCGCGGGACCCCGGGCAGGAGAAGTGCGGGCAGCGGGCGCCGGGCAGCGCGTGTGCATCCACCGGCGGGCAGCGCGGCGGCCGCCGGTCCCCGGTGGTCCTTCCTGAGTCCGCGCCTGCACGCGCCTCTCGGCCGGCCGGCTCGGGCTGCTGCCGCCCCCCTGGCAGCACTCAACAAAGCCCCCGGGAGAGCCGCGCCGGGCCGGGCCGCCCGAGTCCAGGAGCGCCAAGTGCACGCGGGTGCTGAGCCAGGAGCCGCTGCGAAGCGGGATGCGGGCAACTGCCCCGGGGAAGATGCTGCGCGCTCGCTCCGGGCCGGGCTCTGCGCCGAGCCGCTCGCTCCTCTCGGGATGCCACTTTCCCAGGCGGGCGGGGAGTGTCAAGCCACGCACACGGCAGCGGCGGCAGCCGGGTCCTCTCCCCCTCCTCCTGGTCTTGCTTCTCTCTCCCGTCCCTCCCTCCGTCCCTCCCTCCCTCGCGGGGCTCGGCACCTCCCCCCGCCCGCGCGGATTTCTCCAGCCCCTCCACGTCATCTCCCCCTCCCTCGTCTCGGCGTGGCCCCTCGCTTTGCACAACTGCCCCCTTCAGCAGCGGCCAGCCTCAATGAAAGGCTGATGCGCCTTGGGGTTGTCAGGACAACGGCTCCAGCAGAGGCCTGGCTGGTTTCCTGAAGAGGGAAGGGAGCGAGCCGAGAGGGTACCGTCCAAGAGGAAGGGGGGCGGGAGAAGGAGCGCTGTAAAAGACCCGGGGAGGGGGAGGAGGGGTGGGGGTGGGGGTGGGGGTAGGAAAAGGACGGATGGAGAGAGCGAAACCCAGAAAGACAGGGAGCGTGGAGGGTGGAGGGGACCAGTCCTGAACCATGGGACAGGGAAGGCAAAACTTGACAGTGGAGTCCCAGATTAAAAGTTGATTTCCAAACTGAATGCTCCTGGCAAGTGTCTTTGCATGTCATGCTCAGGATCTGCTCAGGGTCTCCTTCCCTCTGCTGCACTTCCTTGTGTAAAATTTAAAAAGGTTTGTTTTCTCTCTTTCCTTTTTATCCACCCTCCCACCCCCGCTTCTGGGAGCCCCCTCGTGAAAGATGGATTAAAGACAATGCTGGTATTGAGTGGTCTCAGGCGTGAATGCTTGGCTTGTCTTTTCCAAGTGCCAGCCTCAGCAGCTGATCCCTGATCCCTAAATCAACCTCCCTCTCCAGGAACCCCCACGTGAGGAATGGTATTAAGGGTTTCTTTTTAAATATCACATTGCTTGTGCCACCCAAGTTTCTGGGGGCCAGGGCTTCTCATAATGTTCACAGGCAGGGAAAGAAATGTGTATATTAGAAAGCTTATTATCCGCAGGGGGGGGGGGGGACACTAAGAGGACATACAAGTACTCCAGTGAACAGCGGGGCAGGCCACCATCTTCTGGCATGCCTTCTGCTCCATGAGAGTCAAGGGATACAGATCATAAGGGTCTTAAACCGTTAGTCACTGATGTGAGGGTTTCAAACTATTGGCATCCCTCAGAAATTTATGTTGAAGTTGTAAGATGGTGCTGGACTCATCAAGGACTTTTTCTGTTCTTTTCTTTTTGAAAAATGTTACTGTTCATTTGAACAGTTCAGGAATTCACAGGGTGCAAAAAACAAGTGATACAAATGTAATTATCATTCCTATCCATCTCATTAGGCAATCTATTTCTCCTATTTGGAAACAAAATACTTAAATACTTTTCCATAAATAGTTCAAGTGCATGCATACAAGTTAGTACACATACCCAGATTATCAAGTTATTAACTAAGATCATTTGAAAAGTTAGAAAAAGGTATATGTTTAGGAATTTATCAAGCCTCACCAGAGTATAAGACCTAATTAAGCACTTACTATGCTGACTCCATGTCTTATAAGACCCCTCTCTCCCCAATATTCAAAGAATTTCTGTGCTGCACATTTATCAGCTTAAACACTAGATGTGATCTCACAGATTATGTGAGGATCTAAATTGTCACAAATTTAAGACTGGAAAAGTTTAAGTAATTTTTTCTGTTCTATATTATTATTATTATTATTATTATTATTATTATTATATAGCACAGTAGCACTGTCCTTCCATTGTTCAACGATTTGCTTGAGCGGGCACCAGTAGCGTCTCCATTGTGAGACTTGTCGTTACTGTTTTTGGCATTTTGAATACGTCACGAGTAGGTTGCCAGGCTCTGCTGTGCAAGCGGGATACTCTTGTAATTTTGCCAGGCTCTCTGAGAGGGACAGAGGAATCGAACCCCAGTCGGTCGCATGCAAGGCAATCTCCCAACCCGCTGTACTATTGCTCATACATATATATATATAAAATTTTACATGCATCATTATTCTATATGTTATTTTTACATAAATCAAGCTGGTGGGGGTTGAGACGTGGGGGGAGCTGGTGGGGGTCCCTGTGTAAAACCAAGGATGGCCCATTGCTAATTTATAACTCAGTTGTTAGAAACCAGGAGCAAGGTAAATGGATAAGTCAAGAAGTTATTTGAACCATAAAAATAAAAATTCTTGGTTTTCTATATCCGTGGGAAAATGTATTTCAATTGCAAAACAAAGAGTTTAAAATGACATTTTTATCAAGACTGTGAGAATAGAGCAGAAGCCCTCTTCCATTATTACCAATAGACTTGGAAATCTGTGAGTTTTTAGAAATGAAGGGTTATCTTAAATGTAGCTTTGGAAAGTCAGTATGTCCAAAATGTCATGAAGGAAAAAGGAACTGGGCCCACTAGAAAAGAACAAGGGACTGTAGTCACTGGATCAGTTAGTTTTACTGTTCATACTAGGTGAAAGTATGATCCTCACAGCCATCTAGATGCTTTGAGAGGAAGGATCAGCAATATTAAGAGTATGTGTTCCTTTTAATATCAGAATACTACATTTCAAATAAAGGGAGGGCTTTTTTTTTCTAAAGCGAAAAAGAAGTATAATAGTGCAGTAGCATATTTTGGCCAGAAGATGTTTATCCAAGATGTTGACTAATACCTATGCACATAATCTCGTGGTATCAGTAGAATTTGTTTAGTTTTAGGAAGAAGCATAATGTTTCACATGTTGGGGTACAAAATAATTCATTCAGAAGTAGCAGGGATGTAGACATTATAGGAAATAGGTCAGATCTTAGACTTGTCTTTATAATAACTCTGAGAAAAATATGTAGAGTTAATTAGGATTACAAATTAGAATTATACCAGACACATATTATCTATCTATTTGAGAGGATAGAATCATAAATGCACCTGTCTGTAGATAAATACAATTAAAACACTTGTAAATAGTTATGTCAAAATAAATATATTGGTTATTATTATTAAATTGACTTTTATATATTGGAAGGAAAACACATTAAGATAACTGCAAGACCAAACAGATAGTACAGGGCTTAATCTGTGCCGTTCACACAGCTGACTCTAGTTCAATTTTGTCTGATGCATTAGGTTACCTTATTGCCAGCAGGGAGCCCTGACACTGCTGGGTTTGGCCTGCACCCCATCACCCATGCCCAAAAATAAATAAAATAGAAAAGAAAATAAATAAAAAAGAAAAAGAAGACTATACCTATTTTTCTTCTAATTCAGAATATTTGATAATTCAGAGTGATAGTCTGAATAATTTTAAAATTACGGCATTATTCTATCAGTTGCTGTTTAGTATTTGTTATTTATGTTCAAATGTCAGTTCATATACAACTGTCTAATCCAAATATTGACCCAAAGGAAACTCATAAAAACTGATGAAAATAAGAACAGAGGAGGGCTGAAGAGATAGTACAGGCAACAAGGAGCTTTTCTGGAACAGAGCTGACCAGGGATATAACCCTCCCACCACATATGATTCCCTGAGGGCATCGAAAAATGAATCCTGAGTGAAGATCTGGAAGTAAGACCTGAGCACTGCTGGGTGTGGCCCAAAACACTAACAAACAAACAAAAGAGAATACAGGAGTTGCTTTATGCACAAGCTCACTTACATGACATATATCACCATTTTCAAGTAAATTAATGCATTTGTGGACTCCTGTTTTTCTTATCCATTCTAACTAAGATCTAATACATTCAAATAAACCAAATAGTCAATGCACATTTCGGTAATTTATAAGAGACCCTAATGATCACTCCTCCAGACCTACTCCATAATTCACACTTCTTGTATTGCCAAAAATGCAGTGAAGAAACAAATAGTTAAGTTACTAAAATTTATAGAAGCTATTTTTCTCTAAACCACTATATACATTCTTCCAAGAGGGCTGGCAAAAATGAACATACTTTTAGGTTATTTGTGAGGCAAGTATAGCTGTTAGCCATATGAAACAGCCATCATTGCCCAGGTAAGATGATCTTAACTACTACTTTAAAATAACATACTGCCTTTCTAAAAGAAACTTTAGAAGATTCTGTACTCTCCAGGGACAAATGCTAAAGAAAAAACAACTGGCTGATGTTTGAGCACCCTAAGAAGCATAAAACTTTTATTATTCTCTCTAGTTTTGTAAGGTAGTGGGCTCAGAGTAAATCCAGATGCCGCCTGGAATGTACTATTAATTTATCCATATTATGGGCATTTTATGCTATACATGCTTATAATATTATTAACATACCACTCTAGATTTCTACAGTTGTAAAGTTTTAATCATAATAATGTTATGTCTGCACTTTCCTAAGTGAAATTAGCATTTCCATATGAACCAGAAATGCAGAATTTTTAATACTTTGGAGTTGTGCTTTGCTGTTCTCAGTGATTCCATGGCAATTTAACAATATTCAAGTATCTCAGTTTAGACTCATAAGGCATGACACTACCAGTAGGAATTTCACTGAAATATGGCTTCTTTGAATACAGAATTTTCATTTCCATGAGTTTGACTGCCCAACAAACTCAATCAACTTCATCAGTTCAATATTGTTCAAATCCTTTCAGAAAACCTTCAGCAGTATTGAGTCCTAAATTCATACTTTATATAATTAAAATCACTTTTTTACAATTTACCTCTAGTTTCATTCTTTTGTGCTTTGTTGTAATCATATTGGTCACTGGTTTTGCTCA